TTGTTAAACACTTCCAAGTCTCCGACTACACGCTGCTCAGAAGACTTTAAAATAGAGAAGGAAGCAAGATCAGATCTCCACATCACCATAATACCACCTGACATTCTGACAGATGGAAAAGAAAGTAATCCCAATCCACTCCCATCATTTTTTTTGAAAAGCCATTCTATCCAAAGAGGAGATTTTAGTCTCTACAAAACCAACAAAAAACACATTAAACTCTTTTACAAACTCTTTTAAGTAAAGAGAGGCCTCCTTCTTAGCCCCTCTACAATTCCAGAATGCAATAGCATTCATTGATCAACCAAGGGGGGAGAGCCCCCGGCTATTAATTTACCATTCCCATCTACTGTCCTGACCCGAGGTAAAATTTTAACTGGCCCAAGCGATCTCAATTCTTTAGCTAGTTTAACTTTAGCCCCTTCATTATTAGCACCAACCTCTTTTTTCTCTAACACCCCCTATGCTCCCATTTTCCCATTTTCCTTCAGCATAGTGCTCTCCACAGTAGTCTCATCCTCTAAACCGTATTTAGAACCCTTCACAGATTTTTTATTAATTGCTTCAAGACAAAGCTTCTCCTCCACACCCTCACTTAAAGCTTGAAATTTGTTAACCATATTGATAGAAGAAGAAGTAGGAGTTGATTTTATTACCTTGTCATCACAAAATTCTTTCACCGAATTAGCAGACGGGTTATTGCACTCCAACTGGTTTGCTGAAACTTTAATACAGATCTCACCATCTAAAGTAATTTAACCCTCTTCCACCAACAGATTATCTTCAATGATCTTCTCTACTCCATCGCTTACAACAGCCTCCGTTTCCTTGTTCAACAAACTGACAGATAAATCAGTTTCAACAATGTCGGGTTTACTTTGGTATTTCTTTGCAAATACCTTCTATACCGGCCTCACATTAGGCACAACTTTATGATACTTCTTGTTCCTTTTGTAATTAACATGGACCCAAGGTCCATAAGTATTATTAACCTCCATCTCTTGTGCTGTCTTATTTTGGTTGTCTTGAACTTGCTTGCTTGTGACATCCACACTATTCTTCAACTCCATACTAACCTTCTTACAATTTCCTTTGTCATGGCCAACCATACCACATTCATAACAAAAAGTGGAAATCCTCTCATATTCCACTTTTTGAAAAAACCTTCCCGCCATGCCTTCCACCCAAACCCCCATGGGAAGAGGTTTGTCTAGTTCCACTCGAACACAAACCCTAGCAAACTCTCTTCTATCCCATTGGAACATGTTTCCATCCAACATCAATGGTACACCCACCATAGAAGCAATCATGGCCACATTGTTTTCATCCCGACATTGTAGAGGCAATTGAGGCATTCTAATCCATATAGGTGAAGTAAGACCTTACATCGAGGAAGGAGAGAATTCAGGCGACCACCTTTCCATTCCAACAATGTGACCGTTCACAAACCATGGACCACCCGAAAGAATTCCTTCCAATGCATCCGATGTCTTGAACGAACACAAATACCAACCCATCCCTAGGGTCGTAAAATGAAATTGACCAAAAAGAGCCCATTGTCGTCTCAACTCCCTAGCAACTAGATGTGATGGTATTTCTGATGCAAGCAAAAATTTGGGAAGGGCCCCAAATTTTTGCGAGCAAAAACAAAACTTTACTGGGAAATAAAAATGACACAATTTCTAAAAAAATAGACAAAATATGACTTTCAAAACAAAACATAAACTCCACTTTTATAAAATAAAAGGACTTACAAAATTTGACGCTTACAAACGTTTGACATAAAGACAAAACCTATTGATGCTTCATTCCATTAGAAGAAAGATACAAGTGGGGTGTAAACTTGCAGGTAGAAGAAAGAGATAAGAAGCCGAGAAGAAATGGAGACAAGCTCGCAAGCTTTCTCAAAGAGGAAAGGAAGGAGGGGAGTTGGACAAAGCTCGCAAGCTTTTCCAAAAAACAAACCCGCAGATTTTTCTTTCCAAAAATCAGCACACATCACACCATTTTATGCTTAAAAACATCTCTAATATATAGGCACAAAAGGGGAGCCAAATAGACACCTAAAACACATTTAATATCTTAATTAAAAGAAGGAAATAGAAGTCCAAAAGACAGCAAAATTGCTGCAGCAAAACTGCACTGAAAACAGGGAGCTAAGCCACGGAAATCCCCACCCAGCAGCCATGGGAAACCCAGCCAGCAAGGGATCCGAATATCTAGCATAGAAAACAGGGAGGTAATTCACGGGAAACAGCCAGGAGGAGGGGAAACGAGGAGGGCCACGGGAACAGCAACAGCCAGCAGAAACCAAGAAAACAAGCAGCCCAAGGCAATGAATTACATGGAAGAAACCAAAGAGACACAAGAATAGGAAGAGACAAGCTTGGGGAAATCAAAGAGACAAAGGAAAAGGGGGAATGAATCTAATAAATCCTCAATTTATGAGCTTAAGACACTCTACTAGATATTAATGAGTCGACATCTAGTAGAGGATATTAAAGCTTACCAAAAATAAAATTCAACTTGATTTGACCCCCCCCCCCTTGCCTACATCAATTTCTCTACCAAATACCTTTGCAACCAATGAGTTTTCAAGTTTCTTAGCATTCATGATTTCAGTAGCTTCCATTACTTTTACAGCTTTTCCATCCTCAGTGAAAACAACATTCTCCTTACTGAAATTTAACTTGATATACGGTTTTTTACTCTAAGGATTGACCATCCTTTTAACTTCCTTATTATTATCAGACACATTCACATTCACCGGAACTGCATTGCAATCATTACTCATAACAACCTTCTCCAAAGGAACCACAGACGGCTTAACATTGTAATGAATATTTTTGTTAATCGAACTCAAGGAATTTGCATTCACACTATTAACAATAGGGATTGCATATGAATTCCCGAATCTATTAACAAAAAGTTTCATTCCCGATGAAGAAGCCTCAGGATCAAATGACTTTAAGGGAGAAAAACCAGTCGATTTCAATACACGTGGAGTCTTACAATCAACATTCAAAGAAACATCTTTCCCTTACCTTCAACATGTTTAACCTTATCAGTTTGAAAACCAGCATTTTCATTAATTACTAACTCACCTTTAGCTCTTCGCCTGCGAACATCTTCAAATTCGCGATCAACTCCTGTCACCAGACGTACTTGCTCATTTCTATTCAGCATAACCATTCCACTAGCAGATGTGGTTTTCACATTCGAGGCCAGTGATGGCCGGCGGTCGTCCACCGCCATGACCTACAAGCCTGCCGAATTGACAGAGGAAAAACCAAGAATTTGGATTTTTAAAAAAAGAACTCTCTCTCTCTAACGGGAGCTTTTTTCTCTAACGGGAGCTTCTCTCTCTAGCGATATTGATTTCTTTGTAACACAAGCTTCTTCAACTAACTTAATTTGGATTTCTGAATTTTGATGTTGTCGAACATATATAACATGTGATTCAGCTATCATTTCGACTGAAAGGTGATGATCATATATATCATGGTAAGTATATAAATATTGTGAATGATAGTGCATATTAGGATGATAATGTATATCATAATGAACATAGTAATCATATTTTGATTTTCTCTCGTACTCAATAAGGATATAAGTGAAGGTTTAGGTGATTAGTCTAATAAACTAATTTAAAATGATAGGTTAAGATTGTGGAGACAAACAAGAAAATGTTTTGTTGTAATTGTAACCAGTTGTTACTCTTTAACTCCTAATTAGATGAGAGGAGGTGAGCCAACTTTGGAAAGAGGATTAAAACGGGATGGGAATTTCTTTTCTTTTTTAATCAGGGATCGGCATAGAGGAGTGGTTAGGTGTGCTTTGAAGAATTTTTAGAAAGATTAGAACTTCAGTTAGAATCAAAAAGGATTTTATAGAGTGAAATTTGGAAGAAAAAAAGATTGGTGGAGAGGTGGGTTGCTTAGAGGAAACATATTTTATGAAGATGTAGCAACTAGGTTGGCATGGTTGAAGTAATTATGGTTTATTAGAGTATGGTTTTTGTTAAGTCACACGAGGCATTGGGTTTAGTTTTATATCAGATAATTAAAAAGATATTGGTTTAGAAGTAATAAGTGGTTGGTTCTCATTCATAAGCTTAAAACGTTTTTGGTTGAAAATGCTCTCTAGCCTAACTTTAATTTTCCTTTTGGTTCACACTTCCTAAATATATTTGATTGATAGTTCAATCAGATGGAGTAGTTCATGTGGTTCATAGTTTTCTTGATCTTTCCTACCTTCTACAACGATTGAACAAGGTTCATACTTCCTGAATCCTTCAAATGATTGAGTGTATTATTAGTCTATGATACATGATGAGCTCAAAATGCTTACATTTGGGGGAAGTGATGACTAATATGGCAAGCTCTCATGTGAAGGGGAGATTGTTAAGGAACATGAGCCTTTAAGTTTATTCTCACATTAGATAATTAAAAATATGTTGATATAGAATGCTAAGTGGTTGGCCTTCATTCATGAGCTTAAGCTTTTAATTTGAAAATGGATTTAACCACTAGTTTATTTGGCCCTACTTTCATCCCCCTTATGGTTTTTACTCTCTAATAATTGGGTGGAAGGAAAGTCTACATGGTTATGAATCTTCTTGAATCTTTCTTTTGGGATATGGTGTTTTGTGTGTGTGTGTGTGTGGTGATGAACCAAGCATAAAAGTTATAAAGGATTGGAATTCTAATGAGAGTGGAACCAATCCTAAGGAGAGCAAGGAAACTAAGGCTTTCACCCAGAAAAATAGTGATAAGAATGGAGGATATAGAGAAAAAAGGAATTTTCAGGACTAATGAGACACAATTAGAATAATCTTTTTGCATTGATTCAGATTTGGAATTGTTTGATTTTGATAAGAATGGAGGATATAGAGAAAAAAGAAATTTTCAGGGAGGATTGTGTGTGTGTGTGTGTTTGGGCCAATATCATTGTTTTCTATAAATAACCTGATTTGCATAAGCTGAATTTGAATCGAGCAGGATTGTCCAAGTGCTGCCGAAATGCAACCACCTTCACAAGAATCTCAAGGTAACGAGCAGAATAATGGAGGCAGTGAGCCTCAGGTAGCAGATTCTAATTCAATATCTGCTGCAAACAGTGATAACAGAAAAGTCTCCCGTGAAGATATTGAACTGGTAAGATGCCGTGCTGGTAATAATTTAATTATGGAATGATTTAGCTGTTTCCCTTAAAAGCGTGTTACAATATGCTCCCTAATCAGTCCAAAAATTTCTGCAGGTTCAAAATCTGATAGAACGGTGCTTACAACTTTATATGAACAAAGGAGAAGTGGTTAGAACTTTGTCTAATCGTGCTAGAATTGAGCCGAGCTTTACAACTTTAGGTGGGAGGATTATTTTATTGAGTTATTTTGTGGTCAATACGTGCACATTGCATAGTAGCATTTGATATAACTGTCAACTTGGAGTACCTTTTCTGTTATATAATAAATTAGGAATATTATTATCGAAGGATGAGCACCTAATATAGTTATAACCGTGCATTCTCCCTGGAATCTATGATAGCTTGCTTATCGATGCTACCATATATGGAGTTTATTTTGTTAAGAAGAAATCCATATTCTTCACTGAAAATAACTTTGCTTCCTTATTCTGCTTCTCAATGGCTAAATTGACTGCAATCACGTGAAATGATTCCTAAGACTTTCTAAAGCTACTTCAAATCTAGATTGATTTACTATAATCTTCTCCTCATAGGCAAATTTTATATTGCATTACTAAAGTTTAACATTTCATCCCATATATGATATCAACTTTGAGAATTCAAATGAATTCCCCTACCCGTTTCCTGTAATCTTCTCTACAATAAATATACTTTTTTTTTTCAAAAACTTGCAACCTAAAGTTTCTTTAAAGATAGAACTTTTAATTACAAACATTTATTACTATAAATTATTGAATAGCTTAGCTACTAATTGTTTTACTTTATTAAAAAATTTTAAAGTTATAGCTTGTATTATTTAATACTGTAAGATAACTGCTACAATTTTAAAAAGAGAGATTGTTTGACTAAAAGAATTAAGTAAACATCAAAATGAAAACTTCTAAATTTTTGTATTATTCAATTTGGTGCATTCTTTACAAAAACACATGCAAAAATATGGAGTGTCAAATGTATAATTGCCATATTCTATCTTAAAATGGTTGCATCTAGTTTAATAATCATTTTCTTTTTGTGCTATTTCAGTATGGCAGAAGCTTGAAGAAGAGAATTCAGAATTTTTCAGGGCTTACTACATAAGGCTAAAACTGAAAAAACAAATCCTTATGTTCAATCATTTACTAGAGCATCAGTATCATATGATGAAATATCCTATTCCACTTAAGGTTCCCCTGACTCCCATGCAAAATGGGATTCATCCTATGCCTGGTACTTTCTTTTACTTAAATAGCCAGCTTTCTTTCGAATATTTGGGAATGGAATATGCTTCTGTAAGTAATCTCTTTTATTTAACTATTTAAATGCTAGTTGCTGTTTCAAACTTGAAAAATAATCCTGGACAGTGAACAGAAATTTCTAATTACTAGCATGCTTTTAGGTACATGCGAAATGAAAATGCTTCTCTTCATGTATGGGCATCTCTTTCATTAGAGGTATATAGGGCTGTTTATGGGCCGACCAGATCTATCAGAAATATTACCAAGTGAACCTTTTTTCTTTCCTTTCATTAGCCATCCTCACTGATTTTGTTCTTTTAAACGTGTCAAGTGAACCTCATGAAATGCTCTAGTATGACTTTGGGCACTGCACAGTTTCCAAGTTTTGTTTTGTGCAGTAAAGCTTGAAAATTTTTTCAGTGGTTGCTTTAAGACAAATCAAGTAAGTTCTTTTTTACAATTGACATGAGAATTTTGATTGATACATTGGATGGCTTTCAAGTCAAACTTCCAATTGCTTTGCTGTTTATTTTTTTTAATGTATTTCTGCTTTGATAGATTGTTTTTTCCAGTGTTTATTGATTTCTTGTCTTTTCTACTTTTTGATAGAGTTTTTTTTTTATTTTTATTGTTAGAATTCTACTAGTACTGTTTTAATATGAATTTCTTTTTCAGTCTGCATTTCTTGTATGACTAGTTGAACAATGCATGTTTTAGCATTGTTCCTCCACCCTCAATGCACGCATATGCTTGTGTCAATATGTTGGAAAGCAATTCTTTGTTGGTCTATGGGAGCTTTGCCTGTCTTACTCGCATTAACATGATGGTTTACATTCACATCATTCAAATCTACATATTTTGGTCGATCAAGAGCTTTTATTGGTCACATAAGATGGCTTCTGGTCGACCAAGGTCTTTTTGGATGAGTAGAAACATTCCTAGTCAACGAAGAATGCATTTAATGATCGACTTGTACCAACTATGTCGTTGTGGCCGAAGAAGGATGGAGCTTTGACTATGTAGGAAAGCAATGCTTTGTTGACCCACAAAGCTTTGCATTTCCTAACTAGAATTAACATGGTGATTAACATTGGATCACCACATCATTCAAAATTTGTATTCTTTCTCAACTAGGAGCTTTTATGGTCACACAAAACGGCTTTTGATTGTTCAAGGCCTTTCCAGATGAGTAGAAATATTCCTTGTCATGTAATGATTGACTTGGACCTACCATCGCCGATGCGACCAAAGAAGGTTGAAGCTTCCTCATGTGTAAAGAGCATTATTCTATGTTGGATATAATTTTTAGATGCCTACCTTGCTTTTTCCCAAAAGATTATATTGAACATATTTATGTAAGATTTTCAAAACACGAGTTATTTGCTTTGATATTAACTAGTAAACAAGTCAAAATTCTCTCATGTCTTGAGGAAGATTGAGTGACAAAGTTGCATCATATCTAATTTTTGTTGTCATCTTGTTATGCTGTAAAATAATGCTCAAGCAACTATCATATGTACCGTCAAGTGATATTGTAATTTTTGCTTGCCTCTTTGTGTTATTATCATTCTTATTCAAAAAGGACATGTTTGCAGTGCAGTTACCAACCTACCTATGGGATACCCAGTCATTCAGCAGGCTCAAATGCCAACAGCAGCTCAACCTAATATTGATTCTATAGGTTGTGGGCTATCTAGCTGTCATGTAGTCAATGGTATTCCTGCACCTGCTGGCTTTCAACCCATTCAAATGAATTCTGGAAATGAGTAAGTTCTATTTTTGCCATAAAATGTCTACTTATGTCATTATTATTTTATTAAAAATGATATGCTGATTCTCTGACCTTGATGAACAATCTACATGCTAGCCTGATCAACTTATTTTTCATCTCTATCCCACTGTGGCTTGATGAATTTTTTACAGTTCCTCTTATTCGAGCTGATAGGAAAAATCTTAAATTCTTCAGAGTTGTTTTAATTTGGTCACTATTAGTCATCCACATATTATTAATCTGCCTAGCCTAGTGAATTTGTGTGGCTTTATATATAAATTTTTAAACCATTTGATAAGATTAAGGCTTTGTTTGGGACGGCTTTCTTACTGTTTCTTAAAGCAGTTGTTTTATAAAAATATTAATTAATTTTTGTTCTAAAAAGCTGATTTAAGAAGCAGTAAGAAAGCCGTTTTAAACGAAGCCTAAATTGTCTGTTTTGCGTTATATTTTAAAATTTTCCAATCATTTCATAATTGTCCTTTTTCCTTCCCAATTTGTTGTAGGAAAAAAATGCTATTTTGCTCACAATATAAGTTAAATTGCTTTTTGATAGTTAATGTCATATCTGCTGCGTTTCTTGGAGTTCAAATCCTACAAATTGTGCAAGTGTTGTGCCCAATCAAGACTGGGTGTTGGCACTTTTCTGAATAGCTTATTTTCTAAGTATCCTTCTTTTATTCTCATGTCCACTTAGTACTTTCCTTATCAACTCTTTTATCAGGTTAAAAAAGATCGAGTAGTCATTTTTTTTCCAATCTATGATACGTCCTGTTATTTTCTTAGATGCCTTACTTTCTGTAAAACCTTCACCTGATTTTTTTCAATTTCCCATGGACAGCAGAACTTTTGAAGCAGCTGCAGCTGCAGCTCCATGCAGTGTTGTGTCAACTGCCACCGAAATGGCTGTCAGCCCTGCATCTGCAGCATCAAGCAATCATTTCCCTTTTACACCATCTGAATTGTCTGGTATGGGCATGGATACTTCAGCTTTGGATCCAGCATTCACATCTAATTTTGAGACAGCGGGAGGTTTGCCGGATGATGGGTCGAGGGACTCCATCAGATCCTTAGGCCAGCTCTGGAACTTCAGCCTTTCAGATCTTACAGCTGATTTGACAAATTTGGGAGGTAGAATGCATATTCATGTAATGCTTACAGTTATCTGATGCGAGTTTTCTTATTTTATTTTTTGAAAATTGAGGCTCAAATTAAATGATGAAAGAGATGATGAAATGAACCTGTAAACGGACATGACAGATTCAAGCAATATAATCTTGTGGTAGAAAAAACAAGCATGCAGTTAGAAAAGAAAAACAAAAAGAGGGCTCAGAAGTTGTGCCGAATGTATTTAGGGTGAGTCAACACGGTAGCGATGCAGGTATTAGTGAACCGTAGAGATAGCAAATAGCATGGTAACAGGGTAGAGCCTGCCAGCCCAAAATTAGTTAAAGGCATACTCATCATTGTCAAAAACCAAAAACCATGAGGTAGTGGTGAGAGGATGGTTTATGAAAAGCCATAAGCATAAGCAAAACCAAATACAAACACTGTCCAAAAAACTTAGCAGGCTACCGACAGAAACGCCCACTAGTTGATATTAGTATAAGCAAAACATGAATAAAATAGTGGTAGAGAAGAGAGAGTCAACCAACAATGGCAAAACCAAAGACCAACATCTTCCATATAGAGCACTGTGCCACCATAGAGAGAAGACCAGTAAAGTGTTAAAATTATCAAAGCAAGCTCAACATAAGATCCGCTAACAATAAACCAACATAAAACCATGGTCTCTACAAGAACGACAAAACTGCTAAGCCAAGAAGGAATTCAAGAGATCCAAAAGATCGAAATTTTGCCTCGACCTCTTAATTTTAACTTACGAAAAGTATCTAACCTTGAAGATGGTGGTAGAGAGGCTGGTATTCTTGTGGCTGTATCTCCTGTCAGTTCTTTCTCTCCGTATCAATAAGATAGCCAATGCAGCAGATTGAGAGAAAACAATTTTTTTTAGAAGTGCAAGTATTGGCCATGTCCTTCACATATTCCAGATGTAAAAGAGTAGAACTTATCAAGAAAGTATCAATCCAGGGCAGCCACAACTTAAGCAAGGCAATGGAGAAAGGCAAAAGAAGTAAACTGATAGGAAACACTTGTAGATCTCAAGTATTTCCTATCAATCTTCGGAAAACAGCGAGAATCCTTCACAAAAGTCCGCACAAAACCACGAAAACAATATATAATTTGTATTATTTGATGAAAGGGAAACGAAAAATAGCAAGATACAATTGATCCTCTATTCTAGAGGAGGATCGTTCTCTCTCAAATCTCTAGACGCCGCTAGAGCCCAAAGAAAAATTAAATCTAAGAGATCTCAAATTTCAGCCAAATTCAAGATGCCCTAACCCTAGCAAAACCATTATTTAATGCCTACAAATCAAAAGGAAATCCCTAAACAGTCCCTACATTCAAATTTCCCTCTCAAAGCCCTCAAAAAAACTTCCTAAAAAGCTTTACTTGGGCGGTCGGGCCACTCGATCTCCGTAGGAAGCGGAGATCCCGCGTCATTTGCGAAGTGCCGGTCCCGTGCGGACCGGCTGGACCGGTCTAACAATACTCCCCTCCCAAAGATTTACCTTGTCCTCAAGGTGGAAATATGCTCGTGTTCCCGCGGAGGTGACCATCCTTGAGGTGATTGAAAAATCACTGTATTGTTGAACCAAGGGCTGCACGGAAAGAGAAACATCCCCTCCCTCCTCCAATATGATCGCATCCAACATGTGTAGTCCCACCAGATAATCTTCCCCCAGCTCTTGTATGTCCCTAACTATGGTCTTAAGTGATGTCATGGCCTTGGATAGCCCTGCATCTCCCCTTATAACACTCTTTCTCCCATCAATCATTAATTCCATCGTGAGTGCTCCCCAATTGTCCTTGGTTTCCCCCAAGGTTTGCAACCATTTCATCCCCAGGATGACATCAATGCTTCCTAACTCTAGTGGGAGAAAGTCCTCCCTTATTTGAATCCCCTGGATGGTCAACACCACTCCTTTACAGATTCCCTGGCCTTTCTCCACCTTTCCTGTACCCATCATCACTCCATAACAACCGCTGTCCACCAATTTCACTACCAATTGGTCGACGACCTGAGTGGGAATGAAATTTTGGGTAGCCTCACTGTCAATTAGCACCACCACGCAGAATCCACATCAAACACATCAGACAATCTTCCCTTTCCCAGAAAAATACCTATAACGGATCAGGCTCTGAACTTTTACTCCAAGACCTCCTTCCCTTTCCCAGAACCTGAAAACCACGCAGAAAACATGGATGAGCTACACAGCTCTGCAAGACATCAAACCTCCGATCAAAATCCTCAGAATCCACATCAAACACATCAGACAAAATCCGAACAGAAATCAGATCCACAGAATCGTACCGAACAAATCAGAACAGAAATTATACAGATCGGATCGAATCAGAACAGAACAGACATACATCACATCAGAGTCTGACAGAACGTAACAGAAGATCAGAAATCAGATTAAATTCCATATCAGATCAGAATTTATTATCAGAACAGACAATGAATCGTACGGAAATCATAAATTCATATCATTCAAATATATCAAAGTTCAGTGAACAGATTCCTGACAATGACAAAAAATCTAACGGATTCTGGCCCCTTATGGCCTCCTTTCCCGAACACTGACAGGAATCTCTCGGATTCTAGCCCCTTATTGCCTCCCTTTGTGCTTCATGGAACACCAGTAATAGTGGCTTATAGCCATCAAAATAGGAATTTATCATCGGAATCCAGAACAGAACTTGGTTTTTAGATTTCAGAGCTATTTCAGATTTTCATTGACACTGACAAGGATCTCACAGGATCCGTGACGTCCCTTATAACTCCCTTTTCAATAAAGCACACAAACATAGCATGTCATTTGCAGAATAAATCCGGACAATTCAGAAATCATACGAAAAATCCAGACGCATAACGGCAGTCACTACCGAATTACCTACCTAAGACAATTCCTAAAAACTTCAAAACTAATACTCAAATTTATCAAGAAATGTTCACACAATAACTCATTGCAAAAGACTCATCATTTATATCTTTACTGCCCAGGACTACGACATATCAGACATTCATCACGAAAACAGTCGAAAATACAAACACACGCCGAATCAAATACCCTTGGATCCACATAAATCTCCAGAAAATTGAAATTCAACGTGCACACTCGGAGCACCATCACAGAATACACATCAAAAGTTATCGATCGGTAAATAATCTGAACCAATCAGGACAAAAATAAACAGACGAAATTCGCTTACTAAAACACAGCAAATCGGTATAAAAAGCATTGTCAGAAATAAATAACCAGTAAATCTACTACCAACTCTACACCGTTCTGAAAACAATATGAGAAAGGAGGAATGTGCTTACTTTGCGTACAACCATTATCTGAAGCTAATAACGTACGGACGAAAATGGCCCGTACGGTCGCCCAAAAATAACTTTTTCCAATTTTGACCCTCGACCTTCTCTCTCCTCAGTGCATAAGTTTAAGCACTATAGTTTATTTTTTGATTTTCTCTATCTATTCAAAATCTGACATGATTCTCAGCTAAATAATACACTAAATCATCTGATACGGCTCCCTGTGCCAGATCTCACATCGTCTTGGACGATCTGACCAACAATCTACATCGTCCTGGACGATATTCGAAGGAACGATAATTAATTTTATAAAACCTCTTGCTTCTCTGACTTGTGCCATGCTCTGATCGTCCCGGGACGATCCATACAAGAAAATTTTCCTGTAACTTTTGTACAGATTCTGGAACAAAATTTGAACTAATCATCCCAGGACGATCCTCAATCGGCCTGGACGATATGTACAGAACTGCTGTTACATGGGCCAACTTCATGGCCTCCCCCAAGTCACGAGGCATCAAAACCTTCAATTGTACTCGGATCTGTGCCTTCAACCCCTTCATGAAGTTCCCCTCCAATACTGTATCTGATAATCGCTCCACCCTACTGGCTAGGTGCTCAAACTGCTCCTGGTAGTCTTCTACTGATCCCTCCTATGCCAGTGCAAAGAATTGCTCATAGAAATCTCCTTCCCGGTCGGTTTGGAAACGTTCTATTATGCAGTCCTTGAATTCCCTCCAGTTCCTAATAGGCCTCCTCTGATCTCTCCACTGATACCACAATAGGGCTTTTCCTTCCAAGCACAATTCGGCTGCGGTCAGCTTCTCCTCCTCCGTGAGCCCATTGACGGCGAAGTATCGCTTCACCTTGTAAATCCACCCATACGCATCTTCTCCTTCGAATATGGGCATCTTCAACTTCCTCACCTTCTAGTCGCCCCCATTGCCCCGGATTCTTCCATAGTTTCCCCTCTCCCATGTGCTAGGTGCACCCCATGTTTCTCAGTCTTCCCTTGCTCTACCATAGCCCAAACCCCCTTCCAAATCCCCCATTATGTCTTCAAAATCAGCACATCGACGACCATAGTATCCCTCCTAGCGTTCCCCATATCCACCCCCTCTCTCTTCCCTCTGGACAGGCTCTAGATGGGGCCTTCTTCTTTCTCCTTCCATGATTTCCACCTCATCTTCCTCCCTACGAATTTCCGAATTCGTACTTTTCCTTCCCCTCTTGCCACGGAAGCCGCCATTTGATTTTGAATTTCTAACATCTTCTTCATCATGTCTTGGAGATCGGTGACTTGTCCTTCCATGGAGAAGATCATTTCCTCCACCGTCATTTTGATTTGATTCATCTCCCCTTCACCAATCTCAGGTGGTCTAATGTATTTGTTTGTAGGGATGGGTCTTCCACTATCAAATGCCTGTATTGCCATCTCAATCTACAAGCTAATTGTTGCTTGTGTTATGGATTTTGTTAATGCATATAGGAGATACTCGTGCATTCTGCAGTTGACTGTTATTGCTTGCAAGTACAGTACACTCGACCTCATAGGAATTATTGTGGGAGTTCATTGCATTCATTATGTATAAACCAGCATCATTCATTGTGTGTTAATTCTCAGCATCCATAGGCAACTACATTATTTATCCTCTAGTAGACTGTTGTGGACTGGAGGAGAGTCGTAATGCTCACTATACATTTTCATTGGTAAGATATTGCTTTTGTTGAAGGCTCTTG